TTCTTCTTTTTCTTCTTCTTCTTCTTTTTCTTCTTCTTCTTCTTTTTTTCTTCTTCTTTCTTTTTCTTCTTCTTCTTCTTTTTCTTCTTCTTCTTCTTTTTCTTCTTCTTCTTCTTTTTCTTCTTCTTCTTCTTTTTCTTCTTCTTCTTCTTTTTCTTCTTCTTCTTCTTTTTCTTCTTCTTCTTCTTCTTCTTCTTCTTCTTCTTTTTTTTCTTCTTCTTCTTCTTTTTCTTCTTTTTCTTCTTCCTCTTCTCCTCCTCCTTCCTCCTCTTCCTTCTTTTCTTCCTCTTCCTTTTCCTCCTCTTCTTCTACTACATCTGGTCAATCATTCCCTATTTGTGAATTGTACTATAGGAGATCTGATTCATTAAACATCAACATTAATAATTTTACTTCCACTTTGATTTACGTTTAGAGTAGCATTTTACTCTTAGTGTAGTATTGTTAGCTTGCCAAATATGTGTAAAATAAAAGGTTCTTTTCTGTAAATGTAGACCTTAGAAGCTATTAACTGGGGTTGAGGTGTTGCTCATTGCTAGAGGGCTAACTTAGTCATTGCTTGCTAGCACTGGAAAACAAAGAAGCATAAAGGCTCCAGAAAACACTAGTTCAATCCATAAGGTGCTGAAAATGGATCATGAGATTGTTCCATTCCACTTTCTTCTAGTTTCATGCACATCACTATTCATGTATTTCCTGATTAGTTTAATTCTTATAGTTTTGGAAGGATTCTGTTTTTCCTTGTTTAACCCCCATCCACAAGGCAAACTGCCTTTGAGAACACTGCCCTTTGGAATGCCTTAGCCACACACAGAGGCTAGGACAGATGTGAGTTACAATTACAGCCGCATCTGCAGTGTGCTGAGTAGCCACTTAGCTATGCATGGATTGAGCACTAATTCTAATTCAACCAGTTTGCCCTTCCCCCACATTTCATAGGTGACTTCACTGAAGTTCAAAGAATTAGAGAAATGTGCCTCTGTTTCCACAGAAAAGCCATGGCAAAGCTAACTCTTTGGTCTTCTAATGGCATCGCTCCAGCCAGTCCTAGTATTTTCCTGCTTCTCCATCACTTTGGTCCCAAAAGCTAAAGAGCAGAATCTGTCTGTGAGAAACCAGTTTGTGAGGATTATGTGTACATAAGGCCATGGCTGGGGCCAGAGGTACAGAGCTCACAAAGGGGTCATTTGGGACAGTGTATATGGAGGAAGACCATGGCTGGGGATGGAGGTCCAGAGCTCACAAGGGGGTCACTTGGAGCAGTGGGACTGTGGACAGGGATTCAGCCAGAGAGGTCATGGAAGAACCGTGCTGGAGTCTGTCTTGTTCTGGTACAATATGATCAGCTACAAGGTCACACCTGGTGGCATTGCTGGCCAGTCAGAACACTTCACTGCCTCTTCAGGTAAAAGGGACACCGTGCAGTGTTTCTCCTGTGGTGGATGCTTGGGAAACTGGGAAGAAGGAGATGATCCATGGAAGGAACATGCCAAGTGGTTCCCTGAGTAAGCAGACAAATACTTTATTCTTATTTTCAGTTTTTATTTTTGCTTTTGGTTTGTTTGTTTTTTTAGCAAGATGAAATTGGACACAAAAGATCAAGAATGCTGGCGTACTGCATGAGTTCTGATATTCTCTTATCCAATATGGGATCGCTCCAGAATTTTTCAGGCAATGAAGATCTGGTCACATAGTGAAAGCTTCAAATCACATGAACTTAAATGGCTTTTTCTATTCTATTTAATTTTTGCTTTATTATTTTTTCATTTTTATATTTTCTGTGTAGTGTGTTGGTGTGTGTATAGTGTGTTTATGTGTATGCTATGTATGTATGCACCAGTGCATGCCTGTGGAATTCACATGTTGACATAGGTTCCTCCATCATTCTCCACCTTATACTTTGAGATAGGCATTCTGGGATCCATCTGTCTCCATTCCCTCAGGGTTAGGGTCAGAGACATGGTGGGCTGGGCCCAGCTTTTACATGGGCAACACAGATTCAAACTCAGGCCCTCACAGTTATACTGAGGTATTTTACCTACTGAGGTGTCTCCCCAGGTCCAACATTTCAGTTTTGTTCTTAATTTTTGGAGTGTGTGAGTGCAAGTTAGTGCAGGTGCCCACAGAGGCCAGAAGAGTCAGATTTTCTTAGAGCTGCAGTTGTAGGTGGCTGTCCCAAGTAGGTGGTGGGTTCTGCAAATACATTAATTGCAGGCTCTCCAGCCCCTCTCAACCATTATTAAATGTTGTTTTGTTTGTGTTTCTTTTCCCAAGACAGGGTTTCTCTGTGTAGTCCTGACTGTCCTGAAACTCATTCTGTAGAGCAGGCTGACCTCGAACTCACAGAGATCCACCTGCCTCTGCCTCTTAAATGCTGGGATTAAAGACATGGGCCACCACCGCCCTGCTAAATGTTGTTGTTTTTTATTTGTCCCCAATACTACAATATATCTTGTCAAGTAGAAGTTTCATGATTTACCTTAACTAACAAATAAGTTAATCTGCACATGGATGGAAATTGTGTATAAGTGAAAGAAGATAGCAGTGTTTGAAAGATTACAAGTGGTTTCACCTCCTTGGGAATATGCACAAGATGAAAATGCTTACTGGGTGTGGTGGCACACAACTGTAAAACCAGGGGGAGGGTGGAGGCAGTAGAAGCAGGAGCTCAAAGCCATCTTCTGATTTTTTAAAAAGCAAAAACAAAAACAAAAAAACTGCAAGAAGACCAGATGGCTAGGCCACCACATAGCAGTACCACAGGAAGGGAAACAAGTGAATTTTATTTCAGAGATTCCAAGTTTTGCTATTGCAGTAGTCTTTCACTCTGCCTAGGAAAGGAATTGTATTTTAATTATTTTTATTTTATTTATTTGTTTGTTTGTTTATTTTGGTTTTTCCGAGACAGGGTTTCTTTATGTAACTTTGGAGCCTATCCTGGCACTCACTCTGTACACCAGGCTGGCCTCGAACTCACAGAGATCCACCTGCCTGTGCCTCCTGAGTTCTGGGATTAAAGGTGTGCCCCACCAATGCCTGACTTTAATTATTTTTAATAATGTGTTTAGTGGTGGTTTTTTGTGTCTCTTGTTTCTTTTTTCTGCCATATATGCATTCATTCATTTAACTAGTTTTTAAACTTTCATTATGGAAATCTCACAAGATAGAGAAATTATAATGAGCACCTCTCCAAGCCTGCCCAAATCATATTTCACCTGTCTCTTTCCTATCCTCGGCTCAGAATAGTAACCATCAGGTTATGTCAAAGCAAATTCCAGCTAACACATTGTTCCATTTGTTATTCTTTTAGCATATAACTTTAAACCATCATTTTAAAAAAAAAAGAAAAAGAAAAGAAAAAGAACCACAGTATCAAGCTGGACGTTGGTGGTGCATGCCTTTAATCCCAGCACTCGGGAGGCAGAGGCAGGCAGATCTCTGTGAGTTTGAGGCCAGCCTGGTCTCCAGAGAGAGTGCCAGGATAGGCTCCAAAGCTACACAGAGAAACCCTGTCTCAAAAAACCAAAAAAAAAAAAAAAAAAAAGAAAGAAAGAAAGAAAAAAAAGAACCACAGTATCGTTATGTTTCCTAAAAAGATGAGCGTTAAATATCTTAATATCTTAGCCAATATTCAAAGGCCCTCTCCCTCCACCTCTTGGGAATTTTTTTTTACCTTGACTTAGCGTGTGTGTGTGTGTGTGTGTGTGTGTGTGTGTGTGTGTGTGTGTGTGCGCGCGCGTGTTCCACACTCTACTTACTGTGAATCACTATCCTTGATTCTATTGCATATTTGTTTCAAGAAAAGAACAGCAGGCTACTGTAGTGTATGCCTGTAGTCCAGGAGTCTCTAGAAGCTGAAGTTTTGGGATTGCTTGAGGGCAAAAGTATGCCATCACCACCGCAACACAGGGAGACCCTGTCTTGAAATAATAGTTAAAATAATATGAAGGTTTATCATAGTTTGCTTTCTGCTGCAACATGACTAAATCAACCAGAGAAGAAAGGGTTTATTTGGCTTATGTGTCTAGATTACAGTCCACCACTGAGGGAAGTTGGGGCAGGGACATCAGCAGGAGCAGACAGAAACCATGAAAGAGAGCTGATTACCGACTTGCTCCCAGGATTATGCCCAGCTACCTTTCTTATGCCACCCAGGACCACTTGCCCAGGGGTGGCACTGCCCACAGTGGACTGGGCCCTCCCACAGCAATCATTAATCAAAAACGGCCCCACAGGCTTGCCTACAGGCTAATCTGATGAAGACATTTTCTCAACAGAGGCTCCTTCTTCCCAAATGACTCTAGCTGGTGTCAAGTTGATAAAAAACTAATGGGCTGGGATACCAGCATGGGACTGATCCAGACCCCAGGAACGAGGGTTTCAGTGAAGAGACCTCGGAAATCTGCAGGACCTCCTGTAGTTCAGTACTTATCCCTAGCATAAGTGTGGACTTTGGGAGCCCATTCCACATACCGGGATACTCCCTGAGCCAAGACACATGGGGGTGGGCCTAGGCCCTATCCCAAAGGACATGATAGACTCTGATGACCCCCTATGCAAGGCCTCACCCTCCTTGGGGAGCAGAAAGGGCATGGGATAGATAGGGTGTTAGTTGGGAGGGGGGATGGTAGGGGAGAAAGGGAAGGAGAGGGAACTGCGATTGACAGGTAAAACAATCTTGTTTCTAATTCAAATTTTAAAAAAGGAAAAAAAATTCAAACAGCATGGTGTTAATCCTCATGAGTAAGGTTTCAAGAAATTTTTGGCAGTTTTATTGAAGCATCAAAATCAACAATTCGATGGGTTTTTATTTATGATTATAAATAATCTTTGTCACAGTATTGAGGTAAATTTTAATTATATTTTTAATTACAGGTGTGAATTTCTTCAAAGTAAGAAATCCTCAGAGGAAATTGCCCAGTATATTAAAAGTTACGAGGGATTTGTCCATGTAACGGTAATTAACAACGACTACCTTTTTCTGCCAGTGTATGTTCATTACCTAGTAATATCTAAATCCTCAGGGTGAGGAGTTTTATTTTTTCATGGATTCATTCTCCCGCCTCTCATCTGCACAGTGGAGACACAAAAATCTTGTCATCTGCTAAGCTGCAACCATGTAGATGTGGTTTTCAGGCTGGCTTTGGTGGCTTCTTCTGCCTCCTTCCCTCTGAGCCCACTGGTTTCCTTCTGCTGCCTCCGTCTGATGCCCTACTCAGTCTTCTGCCCTAGTACCTGGTGTCAGCAGGGCACTCGGAGCTGGCTCCTGCCCCTGGTTTTGTAGGCCTCAAACTAGTAATGACTTCCTGGTGGCAAGCAGTGGGGAACAGTCCAAAGAGAAGCCAGATGAGAATGTAATGGCTGATGACTCAGAAGCAGCGCGGGCTGAAATCTGGGTACAGTTTTCTCAGAGGGAGAGTTGCTCAATTGGAAAGGCCCTTCTGAGGTCGGGTCTCCGTTCCCCACTAGTCAAAATGCATCTGTGTGTGTGACTGCAGTTCTCTTGCTGAGCTGCATGTCTGGTAAGAGCGACCCGGAGAAAGTTCCCATTTGCCACAGGTAAACTTTCGCTGACGTTTTAAACTGCGTAACCATCCCCACCCCCCAACCCCCGCCCAATCAATAGAAATCCAACTAAAGGAGTGCTTTAACCAGCAATTCTGCTCTCTAATGAAACTTCACTTTGGTGGGGGAAGTCTGTCCGTTGTAGGTCACACAAAGGTGTATATTTTATAAATAAATCAGTAAGCTGATTTCTTTCCCTCAGGGAGAACATTTTGTGAATTCCTGGGTCAGAAGAGAATTACCTGTGGTGTCAGGTAAAACCTCAGGCATGTTCCAAATGCTTTGCTTGTTTCTTCCTTTTTTTTTTCTTTTTAAAGATTTTGCTTATTTATTTATTATGTATACAACATTCTGCTTCCATGTACATCTGCACACCAGAATAGGGCACCAGATCTTATAACGGATGGTTGTGAGCCACCATGTGGTTGCTGGGATTCAACTCAGGACCTCTGGAAGAGCAGTCAGTGCTCTTAACCTCTGAGCCATCTCTCCAGCCCATGTTTCTTCCTTTTTTTATGTCACTCCCCTCTGCCCATGACTCTGTGTGTGTGTGTGCCACATGTAGATTTGGGAGCCAGATGAGCATGTCAGATCCCTTGGATCTGTAATTACAGGGATTTGTGAACTACCTGATGTGCTGGGGACAAGGGGCAGTGGACAGGATGAAAGCAATCATAATTCAGTAAGGTCAACTGAGCGTGATTGTTCAATCCTGTAATCCCTGTTCTTGGAAAGTGGAAAGAGGAGCTTAAGACCAGGCTTGACTATGATATCAGGTTAGAGGCCAGTATAGGCTACATGAAATCTTGGTTCAAAAACAAGACTAAGAGGGAAAAAAATTCCGAGATTAGTGCCAAGTATAGAGGTCTATGCCTGTAATCCCAGCAGTAAGAAAGCTGAGGCAGAAATAGCACAAGTTTAAAGGATAGTTTAGCTTAGGCTACATAGCTAAACACTGTGTTCCCCCCCCCAATAAACATGGAGATAAAGGGATGTTAAGAGTATTTGCTGGAGAGAGAGAGAGAGAGAGAGAGAGAGAGAGAGAGAGAGAGAG